ACGTGGAGCGCACTTGCAGCGTTGTCGATTTTACCACGTTACAGTTGATATTGGTTAAATGTGTAAAATTCGGGAGAAAGATTTCAACGCCAGTGTAGAAGACGAACCTATCAAAAATTAATCGCTTAACGATCAAAATCAATTGTAATAAAATTGACTCGCTTAACGAGCGACGTTTCGCATAACGAGTGACGATGAGAAGAGAAGTCCCTTCTTCATCATTTTTAAAACTTGTATACACATATCATGTGTATTTTTGAATATGTTTCACTATACGAGTAAAAATCCGGAAATTTTGGAACGGATTAAATTTTATATAATATTAATACAATATTTCATTATTAATTGCAATTTAGTACTGTATATAAACTAACGCGACAGAAATTTCAACGCTCACTTACACGACGAACACATCAAAATATAAATTAATTAATTATAAATTTTGATTACATAATATTATTAATAATCATACTTATCATCAAATAAAACAATTATTTTAAATTTCTGTAATGGTAATAGTACATTTTATGTTGTTTTATTGTTTTAAACACAAAAATTTAAAACTTATTCCAATTCAATCATCAATATTAAGATTGTAAATGTAAAAATTTAGCTTAAATTATCGGATGACATATATTTCAATATATAAAATTACGTAAAATCTTTTAAAAGTTTCAGTAGTTAAAATTGTGGTAAAATGGTTGAGTCAACTATTACTACCTATATAAGTTACAGAAGATTGTGATATAATATAAAGAAAAAAAGTGTTTAATCAAAAAAATCGGTCTTAATTAAAACTGGGCGTTAGAGGCTGTTCGTCGTGTGATACCGAACGCATTGTAACTCCGTTATGCAACGCCAAAATAAAATAAAATCAAGAAATCCTCGCTCGAGTCCACCTTCCGAACGATTCTAATTAACCCAGCGACCGTTGGGTTTTCGTACCACCGAATTGTTGGCATAGTTCATGTATAAACTACATTCTTATTCCACCGTTCTTTTCATCCTTCACGTAATCTTCTTCTCGTCGCTTTTCTATCTCCATCTCGTCCTATCACACACACATTTAAACACTCGCTGTTCTTATCCTTCCTTTACCTTTCGTTTCTTTCTTTCATCATCATCCGCATTGGTGCTGATTCTTAAGAGACCTCTTATAATTGTGGGATGGCTCGGACAGTCCCAATCTTACTCTTTTTTTCTGTTTTCTTGTTATGGTCTCCGCTCATTCTTTCCGCAACCTTTTATTTCTTATTTCATCATTCCACTCGAAATATATCGACAATCGCAGTCAAATGGACATTCTCACTTTATACAGTGTGATCCGCGGAAACAGAACGGCTCTGATTAATTGTTGCAAAGATAATAACGTTTACTCTTTATCTGGATCTCATTATTTCTATTATCTCGAATGAAATTGGTTATATAAAAATATGAACGAAATCAAATTTACTCCTGATTAATCGATATGTGTCTAGATTCAATTACCAAAAGGAATGCGAGAAGGATCAATGAAGGAAAAAGAGAGAGAAGGAAAAAGAGAGAAGGATCCCTAACGAGGATCCGTTTAAGAGAAGCGATTGAGCAACAACGCTTTTGTCACGTTTCATGAAGAAAGAATTGTGAAATCGAGAATATATAGATTGATTGATTATTTGGTGCCCGTTTCGAGTATTTGGTTTACATGCATTATGCAAATGCGAGATCCCAATTAGCTGAGATCTCTTTTTGTGCAACGCGCGTCTCCTAATTATTCAACGTGCTTACGTAACGCAAAAGTGTAGACAGGCAGCAAAAATCCTCTGGGAATCGATTGTGCAACGAACAACAAACGGAATGTAACGATATTCACAAAAAAAAAAGAGAAAAAAAAAATAAGGGGCCGCACGCACGCATTATGCAAAAAAAAAAAAAAAAAAACCTTTTGTCTGAGCGTCCGCTAATTTTTGGTATTAATTATGTGAAAATCTCTTATTTGTTGTGCATTCCGTGTACTACTCTCCCATTATTATGATTATTGCCAATTTTAGACGCGATTGCGTTGACACACTTTTCGCAATTTCACTTTCTGGCGTAATCTGAATTTGGACGACGTTGCATCCCAGGATTATTGTCCGATCGGTTTTCGACTGAAGTTTCGTCTGCATTTTCAGATTTCAAAGGAAGAAAAAACTTTCTCAGGACAGAATGCCGGAACGAGTGGATAATTTCGTAACGCACCGTGGATCGCTCCGTTTCCGCGATTTATTGCCGATTGCGTGACATTTTCTGCACGGCTAATATACTCTATTTTGTGATTCTTTCCCAACTGATTATTTCTTTTCTTTTTTTTGTGTGTATTGTTTGTTTACGTGAATCTGGGCTACGATGATTGAGTTACATTTTGCAACAGATTTTCTCCAAAACTACAATTTACCGTAGCATCAGTGGCGGATTTAGCACTTTAGCCCCCAGGCGCAATTCAATTTTGAATTCTAATATTTAACGCAAATTACGCCAAATCGATAAAGCAATAATTAAATACATCGTTTGGATCCACTGCATTTTCGAGCGTTAATTTTACATTACTTCAGTTTTCAAATTGATGTTTGTGTACGTGTATCTTATTGATTTGATACACCTTAAAGACGTTTATGATTCATGTAAATCTTATTGTAGATGCATCAATTCTGGAAGAAATTCAAGTTCACCCTGTATATGTGTCATAAAGGTAGAGTCGCGGTCCGGTTCATTAGCGAAACCACGATCGGCGTGGGCTAACAACAATAGGCGTTTAGTTCTGATCGTGGCCGCATGAAACGATCGGGGCGCGCTTTCCGAACGAGAGTCGATCGTGTCGAGCAGCTAGCGAGTAGGGCGAGTGTAGCGAGCGCGGACTTTTTTCGCGTTTCGCGGGCCTCACCTGTGCGGTAAACCGCGGAGAGACGCGGCGGCCAGTCTTTGCCCGACCTTCCAGACACCAACACGATCATTGTCCATCCGACAATTGTTCACTCCAACAAATGCAAGAACAACAACAACAACAGACGTGACAACGCGAGTGCTGTGCACCTGGATAATCTCGTTTCGAGCGAGTTCGGAAAAACGCAAGTTGCATCCCTCAAACACTGCGGACAGCAAGAGACAAACGAAAATTGTGCGCGCCCTTGGGGAAGTCTCTGCCGTGGACGTGCAAATACAAGAAACAGAGACATAAGACAGGTCCTTGGGACAAGTACGATAACTATTTTTCCTTTTATAAGGCTCGCTCTCATCGTTCTCGGAGATTGTGCATAATTCATAAGCGCCCTTTTCCGTGTTTTTTTTCTCTCTCTTTCTCTGTCGTTGGTTTCGTTTTCGTTGTCGTCGTTTCAACTTCTTTTCTTGTATTTTATTTCACTTTCCGTACGCGCTGTACCGAGATCAGCGTGCCGATAACCATCGTGTCCTCTTGGTGTGTCTGTCTGCTGGACGACCGAGGGTTGCGTCCTTCGTTCGACTCTTCTTCTGGTACCACTCCGACTTCTTTCATTCCATATGCAAGTCGTGTGCTAACGTCGCTTTTTTACAAAGAGATTCCATAAACTGACCAGGTGATCGTTCTTATTTAGTGATACCTAAACGAGTAAATACGTTGCATCGAATGAAATACATCATACAGTGATCATTAACATCCCATTCTGGTCTACAATTTATACTTTGGTACGTACAACTTTCATTATTTATATAATACTTGTAAAAAATTTCACTAAATAACTAATTTATTGGCCACAATTATGACCAAAGCAATGATTTTCAAGCAAATTAGTTCTGTTTAGTTATGTTAACTAATTTTATAATTAAAAGTAATTTAATTTTCTTGCTTGTTCTATGTAATTTGTTGTATACTCAAAAATGATTTGTTCCAATTGTTTTAATAACTACATTATTTTCAATAGAAACTATGAATCTATTTTTCAATTTATAGATTTGCATTAATAAAATCACTTTAAATAAATTACACTTGTTTTAAATATAAAATATTTATTAAATAATAACAAATTAGTATGGTAATAATAATTTTAACTAAAATTATAACAAATTTCCATTATTTTCCTTGAGTGATAAGATATAATAAACAGTTGATTTGGAAAATAAAACATTGAAATGTGCCAAAAATCTTTACTACACAAAATAATAAAAATGATGTGTTAATTTAATTATTTTAATTTAACATGATTTAAGATGAAAATTTTATATATAATATTAATTTATAATAATTAAATTGCATTTGATTGAATATAATTTGGTAGCATATGCGATTTATCTCCTTATATTTTGGCGAGATTGACAGTTGGAATTGTACACGTTTGTTCGGTCCAAGAATCAATTAACCCAGAATGAAACGTTGTGCAGTTAAAGATCAGTTAAATTTTTCGTTTGTGCATGATGGTTTGATGGTTGGTGCACCACAACACAACAACCCGAGATCCGAACAAATTAAATGCTTTCGGTGTATTGACCCGAAAACGTAACTGTTTAAACTCGCTGCTTCAATTTTTCCCAGCCGTCATCTATATTCATAAGCGAAAATTTCATTTACTTCCACCTCCGTCGATTTTTCGATATCATCACCACCCATCAACCGTATTCCCTACTGCTGCTTTTACACAATTTATTTTTTTTATTGTCGGCACTTTTGCTATTATTTTCTGAATCATATGCATTTCAAGTTATCGCATAATTTAAATCTAGTGATCTGGAATACTCTTGACGACCAGTCGGAAACAAATAAAAACAAACAAAGAAGACTTAATAATTTGCAACCTGCACATGTGATTTATTTAAATTATTATTTAGAGCAAGAAGAATAGTTATATAAAGTTTTTTTTTGTCAAAATTAATATGACGTGATTGCATCATATGTTATATAAGGTGTAGTTTTATCCTGTTGTGGAGCATTTGAATATACGAATTGAAAGAATGCGAACTTTGATCGATTTTATCATTCGCAAGGACGTCGCATTTCCGAGAATTTCGGCGTCTGCGAGGAAAGAAAGTTAATTGATGCTGGTTTTACCTCAGGTATTTAAAATATTTCCGATAATTCCATTGACTTAATACGAAACCGTCCGATGTAGGAAAGTCCAATACCGAAAACGAATGTCACATTCTCTGTGGTTTACAATTACAAGAAAATGTGTATATAAATATAAAATGCATACAGTATTATATAAAGTAATCTTAAAATAGAATTTTCAATATTCTAGACAACAAAATTTTTAAAATATTCAACATTGTGATGCGAGAATTTACCAACTGCGGTATTTGCAAAGTCGTTATTTTAACTGAGTTAACTGAATTCTTATTGTATTATTAGCTAACTGTATTAATTAATTATTTTACGATTAACTTGAATAAGAAAGTGGCTTTAGTTACATAATAATTTGTAACGAAAGTGGAATGAATCATGTTTTTTTTTAACACGTTTAACTTGCTGTATTTTATGGATGTTTAATACTAATTATAGACTTGTACGCTTTTTTCTCATAATCTTAAGTCATAGTTTTAGCAGGGATTAAAATTATTTTATGATATTAATAACATTAAAAAGAAATGTTTTTATTTGTACATGAAATATTATTTTCTTTAAACATTAATTTCATTTTTGTTTTCATTTCTGGAAAGTAAAACGTTTTGTTCGTTATTACGTGCAGCAGAGATTAGAGAATAATTGAATTGGATTATAAATAGGCGAGTCACGAAACCGAAATGTAATAATGGTACCATTTAGTTGAAATGAGACTTAATTTCCAAGTGTAAGTAAAAATATTATATATATATACAGGGTGGCCTCAAGGAGATTATCTCCCGTTGCTTCTCTTCTTCTTCTTTCTCCTCGATCTGTTACCATGACGACCGACGACGACATATGTCGCAACGGCCACCGCAAGCACGAATTCATCTCGGTATATTATTATGATTGAAACACAGTTACAAGAATCGATCGAACGTAAACTAAACGAGAGAAGAAAAAAAAAGAGAAGCAGAACAACGACAACAATATATGTATATTTTTTTTCTACCTGTATATTCCATCTGCGCAGTTATGTAATTATTTAAGCATATTTCCGAGAATAAAAATTCTAATTACACTTTTATCATTCAACATTCTGCCGACTCACTTCAATCTATTGCTAATTGTTTTATTAATTGCAATCACTGAACATGTTTTGCTTTATATGATATTTATTGAAAACTTACTAATATTTATAGAAAACTAATTGAAGGAGACAATATTCAATATCTTGGTACAAATTTTCATAATTATTACAGCGAAAAGCCTTGTCCTCTTTGAATTAGTTGTGTAATTTGTTATAAAATCAGTATGAATGAAGCTTTAGCAGTTACTGTGATTTTGAAATATATAACATTTTATGTCTAGCAATGCTTCGTATAGTGGAATCGGTTCCATTAATATCTCGGACTGTTTGAAACTGCTGTAAATATATATTAAAAAAAAATAAATGTGTGTACTTTTAATTTATTTTTCTCTATTATAATTTAGTTGCAATTTTCAAATCGAACCATACCAAATCCGTACTAATCGAAGCCGCACTATGTGAGGTATTGCTGTATTTTGAAAGCTTTAAATAATCTGCAATTTATTTTATTTTATTAATCATTTATATAATCATTAACGAGATCAATATTGAAAAAAAAATCATAATTATTTGATTAAAGTTCAATTTTAATATACTTTTTTTTCATAATTTTGCTTATTTCGATTGCGTTTTGAGAACTACCTTTTGTTAATGTGTACAAAACGTTTAAGTGCTTTTTAGGTGCGACTAATAGCCGAATGGTTAAGTCGCCCTACCCACGATTCGAATCTTGGTCAAGCCAGGCCCTTTGTGAGCCCTCTCGGTACTTGCAGCAATAGGGCCATCGTTCATCACAGATGGACAGTAAAATGAATTAGGTTCAGCATATTTACCTTCAGCCTACCGCAGCAGATTCACAGTCAAAGGAAATAGTGGAATCGCAGAGCATCAACATACTACATGCTTTTTGTAGAACAATATTCATGTTGAAACTATTAATTTTCATAGCAAGGATTAAATAGAAGACATAATGAACACATGCTGTTGGTACACTAGGTCTTCTTTTTATGCGGTTTTTATTTCAACAAGTATTTTTTTTAAATAACTATTTTAGGCCATTTTGACACGTTTTGACACAAATTGGCAAACCATTTCATCGAAAAAGATGATAATTCAGGAATTGTACAAAAAATAGCAAAGCCAAAGTTTAATCACTGATTATATTGTCAAAGGTAAAAAATCAACATTCGAACCAACTCGCAAATTATGCCGAACACTCTCATATAGCGACGATAGCGAAGAAAAAAATGTGAAGAAAGATAACTTTCATAAAAAATTTCTGTATTTTTTTTGGTAAAATTTTTCCGTATAAATTTAGAAGGTATATGTTAAGATTATATTTTTTCTGAAATTTAATAAACTTGTCTATGATTGTTAACGTTTTTATAAACTTATGAAGAAACATTTCAGAAAGAATATAGTAAGACTAATTATTTTTCTGAAATTTAATAAACCCTTTTTATGCGATTTTCGGTATATTGTAACTCATTGATTTAGTTTTATGCGGTTTTAAAAAAATATTTTTATACGTGTGTCTAGTCCTTTTTTGTGCGATTTATTTTTATGCGTTTTTCTGTGGAACGTATCTACCGCATAAAAAGAGAACCAAGTGTATTATGTTATGAGACTACTAGTTCTAAGTTAACTACACCGGTGTTTGTGTGTCAGGATATAGGTTTTCATTTCATTCATTATACGTATTCAAAATTTCTTTGTTTCTTTTCATTTGTAGTTGTTGTCGTTCTTGCGATTAATTTGAATCGGGCCGGCCGCACCGAAAAATTCTTCGGAGACCGTAAATTTCGCCATTGTTTCTGAGAAATCGGTAGCTTTTAAATAATTACACAACGCATTATAATAATTGCCCGGTTATTGGTTCTGTTTAAGGTCCAGTGCACATTCTATTGCTCAGTTGCCCACCGATCGGCACTATTTCATGCACCTACGGAGACCGTAGTAGGGAGATGGCGAATAAATCAAATTTACGACAATTTCACGAAACACTTGAAACGGAACGAGTCCGGTCGGCGGTGGTGTTGCCGTCGTCCATCGGGTTTGTTCCTGGTATTTTTACGAAAGTTAAGCAAAGGTGTGGCATGAATAGAACTTGAATGGGAACCATTTAACAATTCATTAATACAAATAAGCAATTGGAGTTTATTGGACACATTTTTTTCATTTTTTCATCTTATTAAAAATGTAAAATTCAATTCAAAATAACATTTTTCAAACACCAATTATAGCATTATAGTCTTAAGATTTATAAGTTTTACAACGAAACAAAATAATGAATTTTTAAGTGATATTCTTAGTCTAATTTTGAATACAAGATTCGTAGTAAAAACATAATCAATATAACTTTTTTTTCTTCATAAAAATATAATGTTATAGTATTGTTATTATTAATTATTAATTAATTAATATTATTAATCAAATGAATAAGACTCAGAATCGATCCTTGCGGAACGCTCGTAAAATTCCAAATAACAAATAATTAAGAAATCTCACTGTTGCATTTAAATTGAATCGTTTCAGTATCGATTTGTATCAGAATTAGAG